TCGGTGTCCCTGTGGAGGGCTGGGCCGGGCTTGACCCCGCAGCCGCCCCGCGGTAGCTGGAGCCCTAACTTTTGCGCGCGGGCTGCTGAGGGACAGCTGTCGCGAGCCGCGCAGTGAGGGCCCGAGAGCCATTCGCTCCCCGGGAAGCTTCCCACCTCTTTGGCTTGTCAGGGTCGTGCGTGTGGCTTTGTGCGCAGGCCCGTCGGCGTTTTATGCTGGAATATTCACGAAGAGCTGGAGGAGTTACCGTGTGTGCAGGGCGGAGGGCAACGTTGCCTTTCCCATTCTCTACCTTGCCTTTGGAGACTGGGTCTCTCCCCGGAACTGGAGCTCACTATCTTTCTATCCCTGCCACCCCAACTTTGGGGGTCACATGTGCAAACCCCCGGGTATAGCCTTTTTACCCGTGTTCTGGGGAATTCCAGCTCAGGTCCTCAGGCTTAGACACAAGTCCTTTACCAGCTGAGCAATCTTCCCAGCTCTCGGGAGTCATTTTTGCTCTGGATGTTCTTGTAAATATTTTTAAGTGTATTTTATGTCTGTGTTTGCCTGCGTGTATATATGTGTACTACAAGTGTGCTGATCCCCACAGAGGCCTGAAGAGAGTGTGGATCCCCTGGAATGAGTTAGAGATGGTTAAGCACCTTCATGTGGGTGCTGGGAATTGAACCTGGATTCCTCTGGAAGAGCAGCCAGTGCTCTTAACCACTGAGCTGTCTCTCCAGCCCATTTTATGTTTTTGAGACAAAGTTTTGCTGTGTAGTCCAGTCTGTCCTTGAACTCCTGTTCCTCCTCTCTGTACCTTCTCTAAGGTTTGTGATTACAAGCATACAATAGCACTGCCTTAGTCCTCTGTGCCTTTTGAGATGCATATCAAATGGAGATGATTTGGAGGAATTTCTGAAAGAAAGCGTTAGCTTTCTGTGTAAATCCTCATGGATTTGTAGCTTTGCTTTTTGCTCTGGTACTGTCATGTCCTTTTTATTATAACCAGAGTCTGTGTGAATGAGTACTGTGTGAGGTCCAGCATTGAAATCCAGAAACTTTATTTAATCTGCTAGGTTTCAGCACTGCCTACCAGGACTACCCTCCCTTTTTTTTAATCTGAAAATAGATACAGTTGGGACAATTCACTTTTGTGTTAACTTAGCCTTGTTCTTTGACAAGATAACTGTAAAAAATGGTTACAAAAGAATCCCATGGTTAACTTCCTCAGGCTCTTACAGATGTTTAGTGTGCTGGCCGTTCAGCCTCCACTATAAGCCAGTGGTTGAAGGCCAAGACCCCTTTGGGGCGTGGGGGATGTGTTCAAGGACCCATTCACCAGGGTCATCTACAACCATTGGAAAACATAGATATCCACATTATGATTCGTAACAGCAGCAAAATTACAGTTATGAACTAGCAGCGAAAATAGTTTTATTATGGTTGTGGTCACTGCAGTGTGAGCAATTGTATTAAAGGACAGCAACATTAGGAAGGTTGAGAACCACCGCTGTAGGCTTTTCCTTGATCTTGGCTCTAGTTCTTCAGATTATTAAGGAGTCCCAGCAGCAGCATGGCTTACGGCACGGAGACTTCCAGCGGTACAGGTCAGTGTCCCGAACACCTCGTGCGGCGGCACTTGTGGCATTTTCTAATGTAGCTGCTTTCGTTAATTTCCTGCTCGCTCTGTTGTCTAGAAAGTATGTCTAGATGGTCCAGCATTGCATTTATATTGAGTCTTCAAAAGGTACGTCATTTCTAAATAATTTTAATTGTGTGTTGGGGGAGTGGTTGAAACAGGGTTTCCCTGTGTAACAATCCTGGCTGTCCTGGAACTCGCTATGTAGACCAGGCTGGTCTCGAACTCACAGAGATCCGACTGCTTCTGCCTCCCGAGTGCTGGTATTAAAGGCGTGTGCCAGCAACGCCCGGCTGTTTTTTTGTTTGTTTTATGGATCGGAGGCCATATGCAGAACCTTAGACACTTTGGCAAGTTCTCTGCCGTTGCATTCATATCTAGGTCTTGCTCTTTTGAAGCAGCATCTCACTATGTGGCTTGGGCTGGCTTGACAAGTGGGCTCACAGTTGTCTAACCCATTTCCCCAGGATCTGATGCTCTCTCCTAGTAGGTGCCCATGGAGTACAGAAGAGGGGGTTGGCTCCCCTGGAACTAGAGTCACTGCTGGAGGTGGTTATGAACCAACCACCTGAGCACAGGCCCTCTGGAAGAGCAGGGGGTGATCTTTACCAGCCAGCCATCTTCCTAGCCCCTTCTTTTGTACTATGTTTTTATTTATTTGGTGTGCACATGGGTTTGCATATGGGTACTTGTTTGCTGAGGCGCACCTAGAGAGATCAAGGGGACAGCTTGAGGAAGTTGGTTCTCTCCTTCCACCATGTGAGTCCCAAGGATGGAACTCAGGTTGTTGGCTTGTCATCGGATTGTCAGCTGATGGCTTTTCCCACTGAGCCGTCTCCCTGGCCCCAGTGATTTGGCCTTAGTGATGACAGGAGAGGAAGAGTTACTGGGGGTCGGGAGGAGTGGGGTGGTGGTGCGAGGAGAGTGAGGAGGCAGAGAACTAGGAGTTCAGCAAGTTCTGCTGTGGTGACAGAAAGAGTGCCTATGTGTGCGTGTCTCTCACACACGGCCCTTTCTACAGAGTGAGCCCAGACTCACGTGGTCTTCTGCACCAACAGAACCTGGCAGCCTGTGTATGCTGCACTGCTCCCTCGCTGGAGGGTTCTTAGCATGCTCTTTCCTTGTTTGGGGTGTACTTGGTTACTATCTAGTCATGCGACTTCGGCATCACAGTTGTTTGGTCAGGCGCTGCTTGATGACTGTTGGGAGCAGCTCTGCGCCACGGGTTTCTCACACAGCAGATTTTCATGAAAATAAGCCTCACCAGGCTGATGGTTGCTAGTAAACACATGCTGATTATTGCTGTCCTTATGTTGGGGACTTGAGCAGCTCTGAACTTGTCTAGCACAGCAACTGCCGCTACCCACAGCTGTGCGCTCCTGCAGGCCACTCCTCCACCTCCACAGAGGCTGCCTCCCTCTCTCTCTCTCTCTCTCTCTCTCTCTCTCTCTCTCTCTCTCCCTCTTTCCTTCCAGCAACAGAGGGTGAACTGTACCCTAGTGTGCTGCCTGATGTGAAGCTTGTCCAGCTCTTTACTCTTTAGGCAAAGATTGTAGTTACCCCTGATCAGTGTTCCTCTTGATCCACAGCACGGGGCTGACTCTGTCTTTCTTTCTCTTTGAGTTCCATATAGCATATGAATTTATAAACTGTTAAAATAAGTTTTTAAGATGTATTTATTTGTATTTTATGTGCATGTGAGTCTGTGTGAGGATGCCGTGGAATGGGAGTTACAGACAGTTGTGAGCTGCCATGTAGGTGCTGGGAACTGAATCCAGGTCCTGTGGAAGAGTAGCCAGTGCTCTTAACCACTGAACCATCTCTCCAGGCCCCCAAAATGAATACATCTTTGTTATCCTAGAAACCTATCCTAGAGATACCTACTTATCCTAGAGATAAGTAGGTATCACGGACATTTTGATTATTTATTAACTTGGGGGTTTTGGGATCGGGTCCCATAGCTCAGGCTGACTATGTACGCAGGCTTGGCTTTGAACTCCTGCTCCTCCTACCTCTCTCTCAGCGTTGTCTGTACACCGCCGTGCCTGGCTCTCGGGTTTAGTAGTCTGTGTCGTGGTAGCTTTAAAACTGTGTGTGATTCTGGAGGCTGGAGAGATGGCTCAGCAGTTAAGCGCACTGGCTGCCCCTCCAGAGGACTCCCGTTTTGGTTCCACCACCCGCATGATGGCTCACAACTGACTGTCACTCCAGTCTCAAGGGATCTGACACCCACTTCTGGCCTATGAGGGGACCAGTCACACAAGTGATGCTCAGACAAACATGGAGGCAAAATACCCATACACATAAAAATTTAAAAGACTCTTTAAGCTGGGCGTTGGTGGCACACGCCTTTAATCCCAGCATTCGGGAGGCAGAGGCAGGCGGATCTCTGTGAGTTCGAGACCAGCCTGGTCTCCAGAGCGAGTGCCAGGATAGGCTCCAAAGCTACACAAAGAAACCCTGTCTCAAAAAACCAAAAAAAAAAAAAAAAAAAAAAAAAGGAATCCTTAAAAATCTGTGCTAATGAGGTAATATTTAAATATTTTAAGCAAGACATGTGGCTTACACTTGTTATTTTTTTTTTTAAAGATTCATTTATCTATAACATATACAGTGTTCTGCCTACGTGCCAAAGGAGGGCACCAGATTGAATTGTAGATAGTTGTGAGCCACCATGTGGTTGCTGGGAATTGAACTCAGGACCTCTGGAAGAGCAGTCAGTGCTCTTAACCTCTGAGCCATCTCTCCAGCCCTACACATGTTATCTTAACCCTTGATAAACTTGAGGTCAGCCTGGGCTGTCTGTCTAGTGAGTTCCAGACCTGCTTGGGCTGCAGTGTTAGGCCCTCTCTCAAAGAACCAAGAAGGGGAAAAGCCAGTCATTTATGTTGTGGATTGGTTGCTCCAGTACTTTGATGGGTCTGTAGAATGTCACTGTTGTCTGTGTTAGCAGTCACATTGGCCGGTGGTATGTGTTAGTTGTTTAGCTGTTTGGCAGGTGACCTGATGTCAGCAGTCACCATAAACAGTCCTCTAAACCTTTGCGCTTACTTTATTATAGGATATTCTGTACAAAGTGCTACAGCTGGGCTGAGTGGATCCTGTTTTCTGTTTCATCACAGGGGCTACTGTTCCAGAAGACAAAGACGTCTCCGGAAAACACTCAACTTTAAAATGGGGAACAGACACAAATTCACTGGGAAGAAAGTAACCGAGGAGCTCCTGACTGATAACAGGTGCTGATACCTGGACTGAGCCTTGCCAGACAGCACACCCAGCCCTTGAATTCTCTCATGTGTCCTCTGAGCAGCTCTGGCTTTGTGTGGCAGCTGTGCTGTGCATCTGTAGGTGGTAGCTTGCTTGAGCTGTGCTGGGGGCTGGGGTGTACTTCAGTTGGTGTAGTGCCTGTCTAGCATACACAGAACCCTGGCTTGTGATCCCTGGTCAAACACACCTGTCTGTAATCTCAATGTTTGGGCAATGGAGGCAGAGGATCAAGAGTTCAGGGTCGTCCTTGGCTCCACAGCGAATCTGAGGGTAGCATGGGCTGTATGAGGCCCGATCTCAAATTGCTGCCTCTTCCCCCAAGAAAAGATCAGTGTGTGAAGTGGTTTCTGGAGGTCAGTGTGGACAAGGTTGTTCTATGCCTCCTGTTGTAATCTGGAGAGGGAGCTTGTTGCTGGAGCGCTTCCATGCAAACATGTGAGCTTGAGTTTTGATCTCCAGCACCCCAGCAGACAGCTGGGGGGCAACCCAGCCCGGGAAAGGTGTGAGCGGCAGGACCCCTGGGGTTTGCTTGCAAGCTAGTCCAGCTGGTCAGTGAGCTCCAGCTTAGCAAGAAATCCTGTCTCAAAAAGTAGGGTGGAGACTGTAGAGATGACGCTCATTGTTGACCTCTGACCTCTGAGTGCATGCACCTAGAGATGCACACACAGGTGTATAGACCACACACAACATACACAGTTTTGTTTAATTCATTTAAGTATTGTTTCTATAGACCTAAGGCTCTCAGAGCCCGAAGTATGGGTCCCTTTTTTTTTTTAATTATTTATTTTACATACATTGGTGTTTTGCCTACATGAATGAATGTGTTTATGAGAGTATAGGATCCCCTGGAACAGGAGTTATGGACATCTGTGAGCTGCCATGTGGATGCTGGGAATTGAACCCAGGTCCTCTGGAAGAGCAGTCAGTGCTCTTAACCATCTCTCCAGCCCAAGTATGGGTCCTTTTAATAAGAAAAGTCTGGGGGCTGGAGAGATGGCTCGGTGGTTAAAGGCTCTGACTACTCTTCCAGAGGATCCGGGTTCAATTCCCAGCACTGATATGGCAGCTCACAACTGTCCGTAACTCCAACATCTGACAGCCTCACACAGACATACATGCAGGCAAACACCAATGCACATAAAATAAAAATAAATAAATTATAAAACAAAAAAAAAAAAAAGAGAAGTCTGATAGCCAGGTGTGGTGGCGCACGTCTGTAATCCCAGCAGTTGGGAGACATGAATCTCCGTGAGTTCCAGCACAGCCAGGGCTACCAGGGAAACCCTGTCCCAAAACTCCAAAAAAGATTCCTGAGGATCATAACAGACTCGGGTTCCTGACCCCTCAGAAAGTGCCACTGTGGTCTGTGTCAGGTATATTAGTGCAGACTGAGGTACAGTAAGGTTGGTGTCCCCACCGTACACAGAGTAAGAGAAGGTCGTGGGACTCCAGCGCAGGCTCTAATGCAGCGGCTCATCACTCTTAACAGAACTGTTTCTTTGGGGCTTTGGTATGCTTGCTTGCTTGCTTTGAGATAGGGTCTCACTTTGTAGCCCAGGCTTGTCTGGAACTCACAGTCCTCCTGCCTTGGGCTCCACCACGCCCACCTAATATCCTGCCGCTTCATATCTAACTGGATTCCAGTCCTAGCCTGGCCTAATTTGAGGTGATAAGAGGCACACCAAGTAGGTGATGAGAAATGTGAGGAGGAGGTGCTGACTTGGAACTTATGCTGTGAGGAAGGAGTCCTGAGGGAGGGAAACTGAGGATGCATTTGGGCCCCTGTGTCCAGCCTTCATTCACTCCCAACCCTCTGGTGCAGGTACTTGTTGCTGGTTCTGATGGATGCAGAGAGAGCCTGGAGCTACGCCATGCAGCTCAAACAGGAAGCCAATACTGAGCCCCGAAAGCGCTTTCACCTGCTGTCCCGCCTGCGCAAAGCCGTGAAGCATGCCGAGGAACTGGAGCGCTTGTGTGAGAGCAACCGCGTGGATGCCAAGACCAAGCTAGAGGCTCAGGTCACTGTCTTCACACACACTTTTCTTCACTGTGGAGATCAGAGACATGACTTAAAAAAAAACTATAGCAAAACAGAGCCGTTTCTTACCTTATACGTCGACAGGGCCTCCTGTGGCTAGGCATACACTTTGTGAGCTACAACCCTGACCTCACTCTAAAAGGGTGAAGTTAGTGTCTCCTGTTTTTCAGCTCTCAGGTTTTTTTGTTTTTTTGTTTTTTGTTTTTTGTTTTTTGAGACAGGGTTTCTCTGTGTAGCTTTGGAGCCTATTCTGGCACATCATTCTGGAGACCAGGCTGGCCTCGAACTCACAGAGATCCTCCTGCCTCTGCCTCCCGAGTGCTGGGATTAAAGGCGTACACTACCAACACCTGTGCAGCTCTCAGGTGTTTATAATTAGCTCTAATCCTTTGTTAATAACCAGGCTTCTTTTAGTGCAGAAGCAGAAAGCTTTATATTTTATTATTCCCAGGAGTATTTTTGGCAATGAATTTGTTTTTAGAGATGATAGATAATAAAGGTTATACTTAATATATTTTAAGTAATTTTATGTGGGTAGCTGTTTTGCCTGCACTCTATGTGCATGTTGGGGATGGTAGATACTAAAGGTTATTCAACCCATTTATGTTTTTATTATTTTATGTTTGTGGGTGTTTTAGCTGCATGTATGTCTGTGCACAATGTGTGTGCTTGGTACCCACAGAGGCCAGAAGAGAGTGTTGGTTCTGAGTTAAAGACAGTCGTAAGCTGCCACATGGGTGTTAGAAAGTGAGCCTGGGTCCTCTGGAGGAGCAGGCAGTGCTCTTAACTCTCCTAACCACTGAGCAGTCTCTCCAAACAGGACCTTCTGTAGTCCAGGATTAACTTGATCTCACTTTATAACCTAGCCTGGACGAATCCTGAGGTCATAATCATGAGTTCAGCTGTTTTTCTTCTGGAGTGAGAGTGCAAGGCTTTCTGTCCAGGTTGGTGTCTGCCTCTCACTCCCCTGCCTTAGTCTCTTGAATGCTCTCAGATTTTAAGGTGTGTACTACCATGCCTGGAAGTATTGAACCTTAGCAAAAAATTATTAGTGTCTGCTGTGTTTGCGTATGAGTGAAAATTCCCACGTGCAAGTGACACATTTATAGAAAAAGAAAAATAATTGGGGGATTTGGGTTCCAGGGATCAAACTCAGACTTACACAAACACTTTTGCCTGCTGAGCATCTCCAAGGCCCAGTTTTGAACCTCTGATGCTTATGGGATGGTGTAGAAACTGGATGTTAAGTGAAATGGAGTAAGATCCTTTGCCCTTGGGGGCTGGAGAGATCGCTCAACAGTTAAGAGCACTGACCCAGGTTCAATTCCCAGCACCTACGTGGCAGCTCAAAACTGTCTGCAACTCTAGTTCAAGGGATCTGACACCCTCATACAGACCTACATGTAGGCAAAATACCAGTGCACATAAAATAAAAATAAGTAAATGAAAAAACAAAGATATTCTTCCCTGAGCCGTGCCTCGGGTGTCCTTTATTTTGAAGTTCTCACCTGGGATGAAATGAAGCATAAAAGTAACCTATGTATCACACTTTGTCATTTAAGTAAGTTTTTCTCCTTACAAGTCAACTTGATGGGGCTAGAGAGGTGGCTCCGTGGTTATGAGCACTGGCTGCTCGTACAGAGATCCTGGTTCAATTCCTAGCTCCCAGTCCACAGCTGTCTGTAACACCAAGGGCTCCGATGCCCTCTTCTGGCCTCCATCAGCACCAAGCACACATGTGATATGCAGATATATAAGCAGGCAAAACACCCACACACGTTTGAATAAAAAAGAAAAGTTAACCTGATTTCAAGGCATGATGGCACATGCCTTTAATCTCAGCACTCAGGAGACAGGCAGGTGGAACTCTGTGAGTTCAAGGCCAGCCTGGTCTCCATTATGAATTCAAAGCCAGACAGAGCTGTGTGGTGAGACCTTGTCTTCAGAAAAGAGAAAGTCACCTTGAATGTTTCTACGCAGGTGCTGTCAGAGTTAGAAGCCACCTGGGGTCATGGGGCTAGAATGCTGGTCATTTGTGCTGAAGCAGTTCTTTGTGGGCTGAGTATGAAGGGCCGTGGTAGAGTATCTGCCTAGGATGTGCACCCCAAAAAGCACATCTGGAAAGCGTCTTGCTTAGCAGTTCTCCCCCCCTCCTTACAGGCCTACACTGCTTACCTCTCAGGAATGTTGCGCTTTGAACATCAAGAATGGAAAGCTGCCATTGAGGCTTTTAACAAGTGCAAGTAAGTCTTCCAGTTGAGGAGCAGCAGCTGCTGTGGTTAAGTCACAGCTGCAAACCCCGTCACTGTCTGTGGAAGTTAGGACAGTCTGCTTTCCCTACAGAAAGTTTATTCTCTTTTTATCTTTAGACTATGAGTTTGTTTTTCTAAAACCCGTCTGCCGTTGCTTTGCTTGCAGAACGATCTACGAGAAGCTTGCCAGTGCGTTCACAGAGGAGCAGGCAGTGCTGTACAAGCAGCGTGTGGACGAGATCGCCCCCAACATCCGCTACTGTGCCTATAACATTGGTGAGCAGGTGCAAGGCCGGGCGGCCGGGCTCCTCCGCAGACAAAAGTGGTTTGCTGGGGGACTATGTGACTCTCCGTGTCTTAATATCCATCCTTGGCCTGAGGGTGTTCATTTGTTTGTCTGGTTTTGGGTCTCACTCTGTGGACCAGGCTGGCCTCACACTCAGAGAGACTGCCTCTGCTTCCCAAGTGCTGGGATTAAAGGCGTGTGCTACTACTGTACCTGGCTTGGCCTCAGTTTTGAAGATAGCAAAAGCAGAGCTGTCTGATGTGCTCCGTGGCACATGACCCACATACATACGGGGGGGGGGGGGGGTGATGATGATGAGCTGTCTGTGACAGCCTCACCCCAATCCACAGATCTTGGCTCTTTGGCTTTTGTTTGCATGCCTTTATCTTCTCTACTCCAAGAACAGTCACCGGCCAGTGTATCTTTTACTTTTTGGGGGGAGCTTCAGGTATACAGTGAAGCTAAGTAAATTTAAGATGAGAGCATTTTCCTATACTTCCTGAGCCCACATCTGCATAGCTTCCCCTCGTATCATCTCCCACAGAGTGGGACTTTTTTCCTTGAAGATGTTTTGTATGTTTGTGCCTGCCTCTGTTTGTGTATATATGTGCATGCATTGCCTAAGAGGTAAGAGGAGTGTATCAGATCCCTAGAGCTAGGGCAGCTGCCTGATAGGGGTGCTGGGAACTGAGCCCAGGGCCTCTGTAAGAACAGCAGATGTCCTTACTCCTGAGCCAGCTCTCCAGCCCCCCTCCCCACCCAGGGCAGTACCTTTATACAGTTGAGCCTGCTTTAATATACCATAATGTCTCAAAGTCCATAATTAACCTTAGGGCTCAGCTACACCAGTGTAATGACATGTACCCAACATTATTACCAGTGTTTTCAGTGCCCCAGTAAGTTCGTTTTGAAAAACTCATCTTCAGAGCGGATAGTGTTGAGGACCCATTGTAGTGTGGATCCTGCTTCACCAGAGGCAAAGTTACTGTCACTCCAAAGAAAAGACTTTCCCCTCTCTTTGTCTCTCAGGGGACCAGTCAGCTATCAATGAGCTCATGCAGATGAGACTGAGGTCTGGAGGCACAGAGGGGCTCCTCGCTGAGAAACTGGAGGTAATCTAAGATATATGTGTTTGGGAAAGGTGATTTGAAAAAGTCTAGACATAATATGTAATTCATGCATGTATTAATTACTATTAATATATGTATATTTATAGTTGTATGTACATTAAAAAACTGTTCCCTAAAAATTTAAGTATTTAACTTACATGTGTATTTATTTTCAACATATGTATATTTATATATATACTTTTGTGGGTGTGTCTGTAAACCTGGCTGGCTTGTAACTCACAGAGATCTGTCTACCTAGCCCTGCCTCCTGAGTGCTAGGATCAAAGATGTGTGTCACTACCTTGCTGTATATCTCACTACGTAGCTTGTGATGGCCTGGATCTTTTGTTTGTTTGTTTGTTTGTTTTTTTGTTTTTTCGAGACAGGGTTTCTCTGTGTAGCTTTGGAGCCTATCCTGGCACTCTCTCTGGAGACCAGGCTGGCCTTGAACTCACAGAGATCAGCCTGCCTCTGCCTCCCGAGTGCTGGGATTAAAAGGGTACGCCACCAACGCCCAGCCTTAGTCTGGATGTTGCTATGTAGACAAGGCTGGCCTTGAGCTCATAGAGATCCACCCGCCTCTGACTCCCAAGTGTTAGGATTAAGGTGTGCACCACCATGGCTGGAGACCTTTCCCCTAATTTGTGTGTGTGTGTGTGTGGGGGGGGTGTTTTCAGGCTCATTCTATATGCTGATCTTGAACTCATGATAGTCCTGCTCTGGCTTGTAAGTGTTGGGATTATAGATGTGATCCATTATACCTGGAAAGTCTATTTTCCTCCCTGAGCAAGTAACATGAATATATAGAAAAGCTGGGGGAAGAATTTTGACTTCCATTAAATAAAATTCATGATACCAGAGAAAATGCAAGTAAGTAGCAATCTTGTCTGCTCTCAGGTTGCACTGTGTTGGTTGTGGGAAGAGACAGCTGACAGGTGCACTATTTTCACCTGTCACACAGCCACCTTTAACAGCTTTAGTTTGTTTTGTTTTGTTTTGTTTTGTTTTTCCCGAGACAGGGTTTCTCTGTGTTGCTTTGTAGACCAGGCTGGCCTCGAATTCACAGAGATCTGCCTGCCTCTGCCTCCCGAGGACTGGGACTAAAGGCGTGTGCCACCACTGCCAGCCAAAGGCTTTAACTTCTTTTTTTTAAAAAAAGATTTATGTATTGTGTATACAACATTCTGCCTCCATATCTGCCTGCAGGCCAGAAGAGCACCATATCTCATTACAGATGGTTCTGAGCCGCCATGTGGCTGGTGGGAATTGAACTCAGGACCTCTGGAAGAACAATCAGTGCTCTTAACCTCTGAGCCATCTCTCCAGCCCAGCTTTAACTTTTTAAAACTGCTTTGCAGGCCTTGATCACTCAGACTCGGGCCAAGCAAGCAGCTACCATGAGTGAGGTAGAGTGGAGGGGGAGGACGGTTCCCGTGAAGATCGACAGGGTGAGGATCTTCTTACTAGGACTGGCCGACAATGAAGCCGCTATCGTCCAGGTGAGGAGGAGGGACCTATGGTGCTCCCAGCGGTGTGTGTCTAGGTCATCTAGAATTTAGGGGTGTTCATTTACCCCAAAACACAAATTATCTTAAGCTGTTTGGGAGTAGGTAAATCTAGAGATGTATTCCTTTGAATAAAATTATGTTAAAGTCAAGCATCTGGGAATTACACTTACAGGGTGGAGAATTTTACAAGGGGGAGAAGGAGCGTTGAACCGTTTGCTCACTGCAGAGGGGCACACCAGGCCAGCAGGTGGTGCAGCTGCTGTTAGACTCCTGGAGTGTGACCTGTTGTCCTCAGCATCTCGCCCTTGGGCCACCTCTCATTCAGGAAGCCTGGGTGAACCAGAACATCTGGTTCAGTATGTGCTCTGCGTGTAATAATCATGTAGACTCTGTATTTAAAGCTGCTATCTGACATAATTACCTGCTGTGGCTGACAACAGCCAGATGGAGCCACAGAGATACAGATCCCGGAGCACTCAGGTTGTGAGGCAGCAGTGATTGAGGCCCTCAGAGCTCGTCACAGGAGGAAGGGCGTCTTTTAAGACAATGAGGGACTGACCGTGGCCTCTTAGGTCAGAGGAGTGTCTAAGGCCCGGCAGTTACTGGTGAAGCCCAGGGCAGTAATGGGGCATGGAGTCTGCATTGCGGCTTGATGAGGCTGTTGAGTATCCAGACGTTCCGGCCGCTTTCCACTGGGGCTGCTTTGGGTCAGGGCGGCTTTCAACAACTGATGTATAGACTGGTCTGTATTGCACCTTGCTCTGCTATTTTGCTTTGCTTTGCTTAAAGGACAGAATGATAAAACAGCACCAGAAAATTCTTTTCCTTTTCCTTTTCTTTTTGTATTGTTTTTTGAGACAGAGTTTCTCTGTGTAGTTTGTAGACCAGATAGGCCTCCAACTCACAGAGATCTGCCTGCCTCTGCCTCCTAAGTGCTGGGATTAAAAGCATGTACCTCCACACTGGGCTTGAAGAACTAATTCTAGTTTTTGCATTTATTTTGTGAGGGACCACACATACATATATATACATGTTGCTCATGGGTAGCAAGTACACTCAGGCTGTACACTCAGTTCAGCCCCTGGCACTTGGAGGAAAGATGCAGTTCAAGATTGTCCAAAGAAGAAATTGGGAAGGAAAAATAAAATGACCACATTCCAAACTTGAGTAAATCCAGTCAGCCATGTCAGCTCATCTAGTCATTAGTTGAAGTATGTGCTTGCAGAATTAAACGCATTCCTTCTGTTTACCACCCATCACATCACACATAATAGCAGGTTGCTTCCTAGGGGCCTCTTCCAGGCTGTCTGTTATCAGACTTGCACTGCACGTGGCCCACAGCACCGAGAGTGGTGATGCAGCAAAGCTTTGCTGTAGAAGGGGTTTTGTTGCTTGTTTGGTTTTGGTTTTGCAGGGCTGGGGACAAAACCCAGACCCTGGAGCATGATAGGCAATCACTCTTCTGTGGAGTTACACCTCAGCTGCTCTTCATGTTTTTTTCTGTTCCAAATAGGTTCTTGGTCTGAAGCCTGGCACTCGCTCTGTAGACCAGGCTGACTTCAAACTCACAGAGATCCACCTGTCTCTACCTCCCGAGTGCTGGGACTAAAGGCGTGTGTCACCACCAACAGGCTTATTTTTTATTCTTAATACTTGGTCAGTCCCTAGGGGTCACTGGCAGTTGTAATGTGAGGTTATTTTTTGGCAGCTTGTTTTCAGAGATTTTAACTATTTGCAAGCTTGGTAATTTTTTCCTCCTTCGATTTTGGGGGGTGAGGAGCCTGTTCATTTTGTTTATTTTATTTATTAATATTACATTTTAAGTATGTTTATTGTGAGGGTGGGAGAGTTGAATGCCACAGCACACAGGTGGAGGCCAGGGGACAACTTGAGAAATGTCAACTCTCTCTGTCCACCATGGTAATCTGATGAGGATGATTATTATTATTATTATTATTATTAATGTCTAGGATGGAGAACATTTACCCTTAAAAAAAAAGGAGAAACCCAAACAAAACATTTTCTTTACCGTATTTCCGTGTGTTTCTCTCTTCTGGACCTCTCTCAGGGCTGGGTGAGGCTTTGTTCTGTCCTCTTGGTTCTCCTTTGGGTGTGGTGGGGAATGTGGTTAGGCTTGCCTTGTGTGTCTCTTAGTCACACAGCCCCATCTTCCAAGAATTTCTATCAACAAGTGAAAACAACCCAGGAATCCCTTTACTAGCAGGAGACACTGGAGACCAGTGCCCTTGCACCGGCTGGCCTGGAGGCACCTCTTGGGAAAAGAGCCTGAGGTGCACCCTGAATGCTTGGAGTTCCATAAAACAGGTCTAGAATTTATTGATTGACACTAGTAGGTAGCTCCTCAATTCTAGGCTTCAGACCCTGTGCCACAGGCGCACCCGGGAACAGGCCAGCCAAGCCACACATCCTTATGCAGGGAGTTTGTCCTTTGTGTTTAGAACACATCCCTGCAGAGGGGAGTCCTGTCTCTGCATGTTGAAGGCGTGTCTCCTTTTGGGAGTCATCTTGGCATCAAGTATAGGTTCTAGAAAAAATGTGAGCTGTAAATATATAAAGACTTCCTCTTTGGTGACATTTTGCCCTGGGCAGGAAGATTCATGGCAAGTTCTCAGATTCTTGGTGGTCTCTGAGTCACTGAGCAGTGTTAGCAGCACATGGAAAACAAGTAAGTCCTTCCCTTCAGACATGGCTTTTCCTTCATTGTGGAATATCTTCATAAATAAAATCCTTAATGAAATTTCGGATATGTGGGAGCAGCTGGTGAGGGCAGGGAAGAGAGTTAGCATTCTGGCACCCTTTAATTTTTAGCGTGAACATTGCCTACCAATAGGAAGGAAGACAGAACCCATAGTCACACAGCTTAGTGGAAAGAAGTGGTGTGTTTGTGAGATAATGTGGATTCAAACTGGTGGTTTGACTATTTGAGTTCTTAAGTGATGCCAGAGGTGTTCCCGTGTGTTACTCAGTTGTCACAGTTCCACAGAAATCTTACATTGAAAAATTCAGTCAGAGCTCAGCAGCGGTGACATGCCTATAATCCCAGCACTCAGGAGGCAGAGGCAGGCGGATCTCTGAATTTGAGGCCAGCCTGGTCTCCAGAGCAAATGCCAGGACTACTAGGGCCATAGAGAGAAACCCTGTCTCAAACAAATAAAAACTAGTCAGAGATTGATTAGATGATTATGAGGGATCTTCTGTGGAGTGACCCTGGACAGACAGAACTGTGACATGTGGTATGTGTTCAATACCACAGATACTTAGCCCCACAGCTGCACGTGCTGACAGGTAGTGCTTTGCGGAGTGTGGCTAGAGCCCTTGTCCATCCTCTGTTTGGAAGCAGGCAACGCCCTGGTGTGGGAACGAGCTGATGGGTCCTTGTTTACCTTCAAATTATAGGAAGCCTTGGCTCTGATTTGTCTCAAGTTAGTGAGGGACAGGAAAGTCAAGCGCTCCATAAGTGGAAGGGTCTGTTTGGTTTAGATTGGGCAATTCTCAGGGAGATTTTCTCTAAGTCCCTTCGTCTCTTAACGGGAGTGGGCCTTCTGGGCGGCCTTCAGTGCTTCCTGAGAGGCCGTTTGGATGTTGGTGTTTTTTCTGGTTGGCTTTTAGTTCTGTGGAAAGTCAAACATACTCCTGGAATGCTGCTGCTTTCAGTGGGCCTGCCAGTAGCACGGGTCTGTCTGCTTTCTGCCTTTTGTCCTTCCCCTGCTCAGTGAGATTCTTTAGGATAATGTGGCGTGGCAGGCGTTAAGTTAATGAATCACTTTGTCATTTATCCAAGCAGTGTAGCGGGGGGTGACGCCCAGCACTTATACAAAGATTGTCACCCTGTTCTTGTCAACCCTTTCTGCCCAAAAGTTTTTCTTGGGTTGACCATTGGACACGGAATGTCTAGAGAAAACAACTTAATCTGACATTTAGGAGAAATACCTTTTTGGTTGGATATTGGTTTAGTAATGTCTGTGTCTTGCTTGAATCTGAAACAAATCAAACTGCAGATTGGCTCATATTTGTAAAGGTAATTTACAGACCTATCCTGTGAGCCATACTGACGCCATGTTCAGGAGTTTGGTCGGGCCTGCTCACAAAAGATTGTCGTGGCAGGGCTTGTTGACTGTCCACGTTTCCTCAAAGAGGGAGGGTGCTGGTAGGGCCATAGCACTGTCACCCGAGTATCCAGCCACCCCTCCCAAACAGTTGTGTGCTATTCTGCCCTAGTAGCATAGGACCTCAGGAGAAAGGCTAAGGGAGGGGACTCCATCTGTACAGGCCTGGAGGAGCCATTACCCCCGTTGGATACAGACTTCAGTGTGTGAGCTTTAAGGTCACCCACTGCTCTGTAAGTCTGATAAACTCATGGGTTCTCCAGAGAGAGCAGTGGCGTACGTTTGCTGGTCACCGGGATCAGTGGAGAGATGGATGCTTTTGTATAGGGAAGGAGCTGTAGCACTCAAAGGACAGTTCTGTTGACATGCAACAACAGCTTGACAACAGAAGAAACATCTGCTGTGTTCGTCTTCGGTGTGAGGAAGCTGCATCCCAAGGGGGTCAGTAGGCTTCCCCAGGGGCACTAGGTGATGGCCGTTAGCAGAGGTAGAATTGTTAGAGGTAAGTTCTGTGATGGGGAGACATGCAAAGCACCAGGGGTCATGGCAGTTTGAGATGATGCCTGCGGACATGGCATTCTTCAGTGCGTTTACCTTTTCAGTTTAGTTTCCATCGTAGTATGCGGTGGATAAGAGCATCGTATGCACAGTGACATGTAAAAGGATCCACGAGGGCTGGAGCTCTCAGAGGACCCAGGTTCAGTTCCTAGGACGTGTGTTGAGTGACTCACAACTCTAGCTTGGGGAATTGGACACCTTCTGGCCTGCATGGACACCTGTGCTCATGTGCATACACAGACAAGTACATTATGTACATAATTTAAAATAAAATTTTAAGGATGTCTTGGGTCAGGCAAGAGTGTAAGTGCGGTGGAGGATCAGATTACTACTGAGCCCTCCTCCAGTTTGCTCAAAAAAGTCTTTTGCTCCATTTGCCACTGTTTAGGCTGAAAGTGAAGAAACAAAGGAGCGGCTGTTCGAGTCCATGCTCAGCGAGTGTCGAGACGCCCTACAAGCTGTGCGGGAAGAGCTCAAGCCCGATCAGGTGCTGGATCCTCCCCAATCTGCCCTGTCCTCAGGGGTGGCCACAGGGTCCCTTTGTCACTCTCTTAGCCTTCAGGGCGTTTGCAGATGTGATCATCTTATTAGTAACACAGACCTCTGGGCTCCATCAGGGTTGGGACTTTGTTCTCATGGCCTGTTGTTCATAGTGGTCATGCCGTGGTTTCAGCCTCTTGTCTCCAGGAGCACTCTTGGTGTGTGGTGCTCCCTTTTCCTAATAGTTGTTCCTTTCAGGCTTCTGGATTGAAAACCTAAGAACCATTTTATCTCCGTGTCACCACAGCATAGTCCTCCCTTACAGTGTCTCCCCTGTTGATGACTCCACCTGTTGGTGTTTTGTAGAAACAGAATCTAGCTGTGTAGCCCAAGGTAGACTCCATCTCACTCTCCTTGCCTCAGCCTTTGGAGAGCTGGGCTTGCAGAGGTTGGGAGCCACAACTGGTCTCCACCTGTTCTTATATGGCGTTTTGACTTACACAGAGATGGCCATAAAGGTGAGGTGTTCACACCTGTAATTTTAACATGCTGCAGACAGAGGCAGGAGGATTGCCAGTTTGATAACTGAAGAACACTTAAATATTCATACCAGCAGTCTCTTCTACCACGTACGGTGACATCTTCATGCTGGAGATTAAAGATGCGGATGGCTCTGGGGCTGTTCCCCAGCTGCTCTCAGCTGTGACAGCACAGGCTAGACCAGGCATAGTAGACTTGGGGTCTACAGCAAACCTACAGTGGTGCTATCTATGGTCATGACTCCTTTTTTGTTTCATGGTTCTATCCGTTGAACTGGGGCCTTGTGCATGTTAGCAAGTCTATGGGGTTTGTTTGTTTTTAATACTTTGAGCCAAGATCTCATTAATTTTCCTAGACTCGACACAAACTTAGGCTCTCCCTTTCTCAGCCTCTTGAGAAGCTAGGACTGCAGGTGTTTGTCCCTACATCTGGTCGGATTGTCTGGTTGTAGTGATTGGGATAAAACACTGGGAACAGAGGGCAGGAAATCTCAGTGTTGTTGCTCAGTATTCCGTCACTCAAGGCTCAGTTTTTTATCAGCAGCACTGGGTAATCTTGTCATGTTTGTAGTGTTAATAGGTCTTGGTTTCTGGTTTCTGGGGGTGCAACACTTGGAGAATTTGTGGGTCTGTGCAGGGAACTTCATGGACCGTGGTACTGAGGGCACTGAGGACCAAGGCCAAGAGCTTTACCTGCATCTTCTTTACCTTTTCAGAAGCAGAGAGATTATACCCTTGATGGCGAGTCGGGGAAGGTATCTAATCTCCAGTACCTGCACAGGTGAGGCCAGCTTACTCCTGTGTGTGTGTTCCGTTTAGATGTTGATTTTATGTGTGTAGGCACCTTCATGTGTATCTGTGCACATCATCTCTTCAGTATATCTGAACTAAACAAACTGGGCTTGTTTTTAGTTACGTGCTTTAGGCTTAACCTTGAAACATATACAGAAGGCCAAATCAAGCCTGTCCCTGGAAGTGAGTTACATTTGTACTCAGCACGGCGCCAAGCATAGTTCTGAGCACGTTAAAGAACTTGATCATCTATGACTTAACATTGACATGCATGTCCTAATTATCCTTAATGCTTTATAAGGAGCTAGCAGCTTTAATAAGATTAGGATTTTACAGCTTCATCCTTATTACGTTTTAGTCTTAAAAATTATAATTTTGAATTGAAGCTCTCTTAGTATCAAAATAAAACTTTAAAATCATAAATGTAGCCCATAGACTGAGAATTTTATAAAACCATAAATATCATCCATAGAGAACTTAGAAGCCTTATATTACTATTTTTTGATCCTTGTATACCATTAAAGAATATTATAGTTTCTTGTATGACTCAGTTTATCCAAATATAAAAGTTGATGACAAAGAGGATGGTCATATATCTTTAAGTTAGTTATTGTTAATCTGAGTAGACCTTAGGAATTTATAAACCTTGTTTATCAAATATTTTTTATTTATTAAACATGTTTTTCACTTAAAAATTTCAAAACAAAAATCATATAAAAATCTGTCCTAATCCAAACTATCTTAGGGAACTAAAACGGAGGTAATAGTTGTTTTTTAATTTTTTTAAGATGATTTCTTTGCTTGGAATTTTATAGGTTTCCCCTGCCCGCCCCCCACCTCTCCCACACACAATGGTCTTACAGATCCTAAGAGAAAGGTTGCATTTTAGTAAGAGTTTTGAATATCTATGATCTTGAAGAGGAACCAGTTTTGTAAACAAGAACCAAGAGGGAGAAGTCAAAGAACTAGACATCTTTACATTTAGCCATCCTAATTTTTAATATAAATCCTCTTTTAAAAAAAAAATTGAAATAACATGAGACATTACAGTAATAGAGTCACTTTTTTTTTTTTTTTCCTGAGACAGGGTTTCTCTGTGGCTTTGGAGGCTGTCCTGGAACTTGCTCTTGTAAACCAGGCTGGTCTCAAACTCATAGAGATATGCCTGTGTCTGCCTCCCGAGTGCTGGGACTAAAGGCGTGTGTCACCAACGCCCAGATTTTTTTTTAAAAAAAGATTTGTTATGTATAGTGTGTTCTGCCTGCATGCCAGAAGAGGGCCCCAGATCTCATAACGGATGGTTGTGAGCCACCATGTGGTTGCTGGGAATTGAACTCAGGATCTCTGGAAGAGTAGCCTCTGCTCTTAACCGCTGAGCCATCTCTCTAGCCCTGTTTTACAAATTTTTAACCATATCCAGTAAGTTTTCAAATCTTAAGTACAGAAAGTTTATATTTACCTGTTTTGTTTCCTTTCTTTGTCCTAGAGTCAAATGATCTCTGACCTAGGACACAGATTTTTGAGGAAATTTTTAAACACCCATGCTTGGGTTCGAAGAGGGAGACCACACCCCAACTCCAGAGCCAGCTTTTAATAAAGTAGAACAGCATAATAAAATATTTTAATATTAACCATACCCAAAAGACATCCAGAATCAAATCCAATGATCAGAGGGCGAGACCACGGAAATGAGAGGTTTAGAGATAAGAACTCTGGGTGCCAGACTGCTGCTACAGGACAGTAAGCAGCAGGTGGCAGAACAGGGCACTTGTGATGCCCTGGAGGGCCAGGCATCAGGAGCCCCACATCACTCCAGCCCAGCAGCAGGGGGGTGGCCAAAACCAGAGCTTCTTGATCAGAGACAGGATCCAGCTGGGAGACAGACTAAGCTGGAAAAAGACATCTTTCAGAAGCAGGGTGAGGGAAAAGGTAGAGAAGTACCTGATGTATCTATGGGACTTAGACAGCAGGCTCCTGCAAGCCAATGAGAGGGACACAGAGCAAACTCTAGTGAAGAGCTAGCATAGAGGCAGCCAGGAGCAGTCTACCTCATGGAATTCCTGAAAATGTTGCATGGAACTCCAGGGGCAGTTTGACTTTGTTCAGTTTGAATTCTCATCTCTGCCACAAAACTTGAAAACACAATTCCAACAGACTATATAGAGAACAGAAGAAGATAGTGCAAGAACAGAATCAGGAAAAATGAAAAGACACAAACAAACAAACTCAGATATAGGGTGGCCTCTTCATTCATACACCAAAACCAGGAGGACAATAGAGGGTCCCCTCTGCCCCAGAGACAGGGTGTGTAGTCTTTTCAGAACTTGCCTTTTGTCTCTCCAAATGTCCAGATTCCAAAACAAAATAGAATTTCTCACTCTTTGGTCCAAGCTTCAGAAGTATGTTGGCCATCAGTTCTTCTAGTTTCAAATTTGGAGCCATTCAGTCTGGTTTTGCTAGGGCCTGTCAAGTTCACTTTGGACTTGTTTCCTCGGGGGGTCTATCCCAGACCCCTGGTGCAAAGTCTGAGGTTTCCCAGGGATCTCCCTGGGGCGTCCAAATGTTACGGAGTTTGTGATACCCCCCCCCAAGACTATAGACTCAATATAATTATAATTTAAAAAATTATTAGATGCTAGCCAGACAGTCTCTGAGCCAAATTTGAGATTGCTGTGGAGGAGGAGGAGGAGGGGAAAACCACACAAAAACCTTCAATATCTATGTAAGCTAGTAAAAACTCTTCTGTTCTGCCAAATTAAGTAATTAAGGCAACTCAAAACAATCTCTGGGTATCTGAAGCAGAAGAGAAAAAAAGCCACTCATATCATGACAGATGTACGTTTTGAGGCAGGGAGTGGGTCACTGAGTCAGGGTTGCTGGGACTTAACTTCCAGTGACTGGAGTCAAAGACAAACAGCTGGTGGGTACCAAGATGATGCCCAGTGTCAAATGGAGCCTCTTTGGGCATAACAAATCCTCCTGCCTCAGTCTTTAGCATGGTGCAATTTCAGGCATGAACCACTACACCCAGCCTGAGCCAGTAACTTTGGAGCTGCTGTGACCCAGAGGTCACTCCCTTTCCCTCTCCCAAGCTCTTCACTCTTGTGAGCATCTTAAGTTGTCACTTTCACATTTTAGTAAGTTCAGCTCCACTCAGTTCCACCTGCAGCTCTTTGTGTCAGACCAGATCTGCCTGGCTTTTTCCTGTGCGGCTGGCTTGGCCACCCGTCTGTGTGCTTGTGGCGTTTTCTGCTCCATCATGTGTGGCTGCTGCTGTCAAGTGGCAGATGTGCCCTGGCCTGTGTCATAAACTTCGGCTTGTGTGCTTGATGGCGGCTTTTCTTCCCCTCAGTGCGTTTGTGTGTTTGGTTTAGAGGCAGAGTCTTTGTTTGTAGCCCAGCCTGGCCTGGAACTTTTCGTGCAGCCCAGATTTGCAGCAGACTCGCAGCAGGCCTTCAGTCTCAGTCTCCAGGTGCTGGATTGCAGGCCTCACCTGCTCACCTGGCCTCTTTTGCCCTCTTATGCACATGCTTGAATTCCCTTGTCAGTTTCATTTTTCTTTCTCTTCTTTTGAAATAGTGTAGGGTTTGGGAGACATATATATATTTTAAGATGTGTTAGGCCCTCACGTCTCGCTAGCTGTGGAGCACAGGAAGCCTTGCTGTTTCTTCTCAGAGAAAAAGGAAAAAGAGTATCTTTTTTTTTTTAAGCACACAGAAGAGTTTATCACCTGAAAGAAATTCTGCTTCTCACTCAGCTTTCCTTTGCATTTGACCTTGAAATGTTTAAGTTGGTTGCCGACCGCTTAGAACTCAGGTGGTAAATGTCTTCCTCCGTCTTCCGCCCTTCCACTCCCTAGCTTTGGTTGTTTTGTTTGAGCAAAGTTGAAGGTTATTGAGAGACTCTATTGAAAGTAATGGATGCTTCTCATAAACACTCAGCTCCAGGGGGTCTAGGGTAGGGTGCAACCTGGTGATGAGGTGCATACTGTAGGCCCCCAGCCACCAAGTGTGCGCGCACACACACACACACACACACACACACACACACACACACACACCGTCCTTGTCACACTTGATCTCCATTCTTGAACTCAATCTGTGAATGTCATATTGACTGGCAGGTGACTCAGGTCCTTGGTATATCAAACAGGGTTAGCTGGTAGATGTTATCTGATTCATCAGCTGAGGAGGAAAAGCTCCTGGAGAGCTGCACATCTGTGTGCTTTAGAGCCCCAAAGTGAGTTGAGCTCACCTTCTGACCTGGAGCAAGGCCAGTGAAGCCCTTGCTCTGAGGTCACCTTCCACCTTCGGAGGTGGCTGGTTCAGGACATGTGGGGGTTTCCACTCTCCTAAGATTGCCACGGTTGGGAGAGCAGCTTTGGGACAAAAAGGATGAGTTAGAAGTCAGGTAGCTTTTGTATTTTCACGAAACTTTGTGAGTCTATACCTGCTCATGTATAATAGCTTCTTTGAGGAAAATTTCCCTCATAACCTTCTCACCTATTTCTCAAATTTAACTTTTTGCTTACTTTAGCATTTTTACACATTTACTTCGGTTATCTCAAAAACTGTGGCTATTCTTATATTCCCAGGGTAGCTGTAGTCTCCCCTGCTTCTCACTTGTTCCCCTGAGCTGTGTCCCACAAGGCTTTCTCACTTCTCAGCCCTGTTCAGCCTCTTAGAGTAACCCCTTGTGACTAGTGTGAGTGGGACCATGTAGTGAGAACACATTGCCTTCCTCTAGAAACTGGCTGCTGTTTCCTGAAGACTAGTGATGCCCTCTGAAACTGGGAGCTTCGCGGCCTTGGGAAAGGGTGTGAAGGGCCAGGTAGCCTTGCTGTGTGACCCCCTAGCCTTACCCCACTGCCCCAGGTCAGCCCCCAGTCACTGCAGTAGTCTTCTGAAAACATGAGCCTCCTTGAATGTCACCTGAGTCAGCATGTGGTCCTTGCAGCTACCTGACCTACATCAAGCTGTCAACAGCCATCAGGCGGAATGAGAGCATGGCTAAAGGCCTGCACAGGGCCCTGCTGCAGCAACAACCAGAAGATGACAGCAAACGTTCTCCCAGGCCTCAGGACCTGATCCGGCTCTATGATATCATTCTGCAGGTAACCCTTGGGGCCTGGAGAGGCAGCCTGTCCTCTGCTGTCTCTGAGCACAAAATGGTTTGGGTAGTGAACGTCTGTCGAGAGCCTGGAGGGACTGGTAGCTGGGTGGAACACAAGGAAAGGTCTTGGAGTAATACAGAAGCCTAGTGCTCCATATTTCAGGCATTTTGGGGTGTTGATAAATGCACTCACAGGCATTCACTGAGTGAGTGCTTCCCCTGTGTAAGATACTCAAAGGTGTGAGGGCATCCAGAGACTGAATCATACTGTGTCGCCTGCTGCAAGTTGGTCAGTTAGTAAGCTTGCTACACATAAGCCAGGCATGGTGAGTCACACCTGGAATGCTAATGCTACACTTGGGATGTCCATGAAACTGTGTAGTGAGTTCAAGGTCAGCCGGGGCTCTATGGACCCTGCATCTTTGCTCCTCTTTGGAGAACCCGAGTTTGGTTCCCAGAATTCAACTGTAGCTATAGCTCCAGCTCCTGTGGATCTGACACCTTCCTTCTTCTGGTCTCTTTGCACCCTGCACAGGTGGCATACACAAATACACATGCACATAAATAATAAAAAAGATAGCACTGGTCCTTTAATCCCACACTTGGGAGGCAGAGGCAGGCAGATCTGTTAATTTGAGGCCTGCTGGATCTGTGTACTGAGTGAGTTCCAGGACTGCCAGGGCTATGTAATAGAGAGACCCTGTCTCCAAAAAAAAAAAAAAAAAAAAAACCAAGAGAGGAATTTTAAGTAGAGAAGAGCTGAGAAAGATATCTGATGCCAACCCGTCCTGCATGTGCACACCTATGTACATGCATGTAGGTACATGCATACAACACACTAGCTGCCTGGCAAATGAGTGGACCCATATAAAGAGGAGGCTTTCCAGTCTGTGTGGTCTAAGGAGTCCTTGAAGGTTGCTGAGAAGAGTTGAGTGGTAGAGGACAAAAGCACTTTTTGTGTGGGGACCGGAGGGGACACCAGGCCAGCCGTTGGCAGGTCACACTTTCCTGACTTCCCATTATTTTGAGTGTGGACTCTCTTTCTCTGCCCTATCTGTTCCTAAAAGGTCTTCTGACAAGATCGCTCTGAGGCTTCTCACGGGTTTTCTTGTTGCATCTGTTGTACAGAATCTGGCGGAACTGCTGCAGCTTCCTGGCTTAGAAGAGGACAGAGCCTTCCAGAAAGAGATAGGCCTCAAGACCCTGGTGTTCAAAGCTTACAGGTAAAGCCCTTCAAGATGAGCAGAGCTACGCTGTCATTGCAGCAGTGAGCTGGCAGCTTGTACTGCGCTGTGGGACACACGGTCATTGCCAGGAACTGTGACTGCCTGGCTACGCAGAGGATGCTCAGTGTTTACAGGAAGTCCTTGGCAAAGATGGCAGCAGTAGTCTCCAGACTTCTTCATCCACATTTCTGATAGACTTCAGAGTTATTTCTCTTGCTTCTTCCCTCCCAGTGAAAGCACTAGGAGAGCCAGGCCTTGGGAAGGGCGTTGGCTGACTAGAGTAGCCGGTCCAGGGAGTCCGAGCTGAGCCGGATGAAGCTGGGCATCTCAGTTCCTGGGATGAGGCGAGGTGTGGCTCACTCAAAAGTAGACTGTTTATCAAGGCCACGGATCTAGGCAGACGGCAGAGTAGTGAGCATGCCCTCATGTGTCGCTGGCTCTCAAGCTCTTGTGCTCTCAAGGGCTCCCTGCCTTTGCTCATGTGTTGCTTCTGTTGTGTCAGGGGCAACAGGAAGGTTCTGGTGGGCCCCATAGAATTTTGGTTTGGGATGAATAAATAGTTGTTACTTAGACTTGGGGGCATGGGTGAGTGGGGGTTCATGTTGGACCTGGCCAGCACTCTCCCTTCCTGCCTCTAGTTACACCGTCCTTGGGAGCCGCCTCCTCTGCTGCCCACCAGTGGGGCTGCAGAGCTGGGGTCCCTGGGCACACTTGGAAGTGTGCCAGCGCACAGATTGCTGATGGGTGCTGAGGGTGAGGCTAGGTTCCCTGGCAGTGACCTGAGCTAAGAATCCTGTTTCCAGACTTAACATTAAGCCTGACAGCAGGGACAACCTTGGTGTTACGCAGCTGTGGCTTTAGAGTGCTGTGGCTTTTCCCCGTCAGGTGTTTTTTCATTGCTCAGTCCTATGTGCTGGTGAAGAAGTGGAGCGAAGCCCTCGTGCTGTACGACAGGGTTCTGAAATATGCCGACGAGGTCAGTGCTGATGGCGGAGCCTTCAAGAACAGCCTGAAGGTGAGCTGGGCATCTCTCTGTGTTTCCAGGCCTTAGTGAGGGACACAGGGACTGTGAGGGGACAGCAGCTGGCAGCTCCCGAGGAAGCTGTTCCCCTCCTGTCACCTGAGTCATCTCATGTGTGACCTCCCCTGCTCCAGGCCTGAGGAGGAGTTAGCTGTGACAGAGCCATTTCATCCAGCTATGAAAGGACATACCTGTAATCCTGTCCCTGCAGAGGCTGAGGCTGCAGGGTTAGGAGAGTGAAACTAGTCTAGGCCTCACAGCAAGCCCAGTGTCAGCCTTGACTTCACAGGAAAAGCCCAGCTCCAGAATAGAGTGGGAAATGCCACTTCTCTGGTTAAAAAGAACAAACCCGTGTATTGTTCTCAAATTGGCTACTTACTGAAATCATCTGGAAAAATTTGGTTTTTTGGAGACAGGGTTTCTCTGTGTAGCTTTGGAGCCTATCCTGGCACTCGCTCTGGAGACCAGGCTGGCCTTGAACTCACAGAGATCCGAATCTGGCAAAATTTTAAGTCGATGGATGGAGTGGACACTGGGGTGTTTGAAGCTCCAGAGTGGTTCTGATATCAACCTAAGACCTTGCTGAGACCTTCTGCATAGAGGCTGCTCAGGACTCTGCCTTTAGAGATGTGGACTCCAGCACTTTGACCTGCTGTCCCAGCACCCAGGCAGTGGGGGCAGGAGGCCCTTGAGCTCCAGGCCAGCCTGGGCTGCATAATGAGTTCTAGACCAATAGGGCTACACAGACCCTTAAAAGTTAAATAAGCAATAACTGGCTATGTAGAGGAATCCATGTTCTGTAAGTAGAGCCTATTTAGAGACAAAGTGGTGTTAGAGGTGTGGTCACAGGCCAGCACAGGGCCACAGCTGTGCACGCACACGCCACACCATGCCCCAGAGAAAACCTGACTTTGACCTCCAGAGAGCGTGTAGATTGGTGAAGCCACTGTCTTGCTCACAGCAGTCCATTTGTGAACACAGCTGGACTGTCACTGAGTGGCAGAGCATTGCTCAAAGTGCCCAGGTCCCTGAGTTCAGTTCTCAGCTCAGATGACAGAGAAGTCAGAGGCCAGTAGTAGTTGAGAGGGACTCAGCACTCAGAGGCAGAGACAGGCGGATCTGTGTGTGTTTGAAGCCAGCCTGGTCTACAGAGAGAGTTCCAGGACAGGCTCCAAAGCCACAGAGAAACCCTGCCTCAGAAAGAAAGAAAGAAAGAAAGAAAGAAAGAAAGAAAGAAAGAAAGAAAAAGAATTGGTGGTGGTGGCATTGTGGCACCCATTTGTAGTCACAGCACTGGGAAGGCTGAGGCAGGAGGAGCACTGTGAGTTCAGCCAGCCCTGGAGCCTCAGTGAGACCCTGTCTCTGCAGGGGTGGGGGGGGAAGAATGGGACGGGACAGCTGCACAGGGATGAGATGAAGTGGTTGAGGCCCTGACATCCCACCTATGTTCTTGGGGCAGGGCTGGCCCAGTATTTGCTCTTGCCATGCTGCAGGGGCTCTGGTTTGCCAGATGAAGTCCAGAGCGGCCACCCCAGTGAACTCCTGAAGGTGGAATTAGTAGTTGTGTGCACTCTGGGGTCTGGCATGGGCTGCACTTAGAGCTTGACAAGCCCTGTTAATGCTCTTTCGGGCATTGTTGTTTGAGCTGTGTCAGCCTTTCCCAGGTTGGCCTCGAACTCACTGTGTAGCTGAGGCTGGCCTTAAACATTGAGGTTCTCCTGCCTCTACCTCCCAAGTGCTAGGATTAAAAGGCATTAGCCACCAGGCCCAGCATGTATAGTAGACATTTTTTAAAAAAAGACGTTTTTTGTTTGTTTCAAAACAAGGTCCCAGAACTCGTTCTATAGATCAGACTGCCTCAAACTCAGAAATCCACCTGCTTCTGCTTCCCAGAGTGTTGTGATTAAAGGTGTGCTGCACCACTTCCTGGCTGACTTTTTCTGTTTCTCTCTCTTTCTTTTTCTTTTTTTTTTTTTTTTTAAATCTGAAAAGTCTCACAAACCCCCCGTGGGACCTGACACAGGTCCATGTTTCCTGCTGATGAGTGTGTATTCTCTGTTCCTGCAGGACCTGCCTGATGTGCAAGAGCTCATCACTCAAGTGAGGTCAGAGAAGTGCTCGCTGCAGGCCGCAGCCATCCTGGGTGAGCCACCTCCCTGGTCTTGGCAGTGTCCCCAGACTCCTATACCTCTGCTTCCACACCCTACACCATGATTTTACTATAGCAAGTGTTGTTGGAGTTATTCTCTTAGATTGCTATTTTCCTAGCCTTATTGTCTGCCACACTCGGCACTGAGCCGTGTAAGGGGTTGGAAAAGCCCTGTCCCTGCTGCCCCTTCTCCTTAGCATGTTCCAAGCTCTACAGCTCCTGTGGGTTGACCACAGTGGATCTGAGCTTCATCACTGTTCATCCAGGAGGGAAGCCCCACTCTCTGTCTGTCCCTACTGACTAGCTTTACTCTGCATTTAGAGCCATGCTTACCACAGTGGTTTGGAAAAGCCTTATTGTGGCAAGCATGTGCAGAGTCCCTGTCTCACAGAATCCCTGTGAAATTTCCAGATGCAAATGACTCCCATCAAGCAGAGCCCTCCTCTCAAGTCAAAGACAATAAGGTAAGGCAGCTGTGGCTCTAGGCTTCCCCTGCTTCCTCCCTTTTCTTTCCCAGACACCCACAGGCGACGCAGATGTCTTGTTAGCTTTCCATATCCCTAGGGAAGTGGAGAACAGTCTTGCCTCCAGTGTCAGTGACAAAGTTGGGAATGAATGTGCCGCTGTAGAGATGGCTTAGCGGTTAAGGTTTGATTTCATGCACCGGTGTGATGGCTCATAACCATCCCTGACTTCAGTTCTAGGGGAGCCAAAGCCCTTCTGACTCTGCAGGCACTAGGCATGCAGGTGGTGCATCCATACACACAAAACAGAAGCAATAATAATAGTAAAAGGTAATTTCGGAACATGCCGTGTAAGCATTCGGGCCTGTGTTGACATGCGTACACACACTGAGGCCTGAAAGAAACCACATGAACCACATGTAGACTGCATGCCCTGCACAGCAAACACCACCATGGGCTTTCTGATGGATGTTTTCATCTGTCTTCCAGCCTCTGGTTGAACGGTTTGAGACCTTTTGCTTGGACCCTTCCCTCGTCACCAAGCAAGCCAGCCTCGTGCACTTTCCACCAGGCTTCCAGCCCATCCCTTGCAAGCCTTTGTTTTTTGACCTGGCCCTCAACCATGTGGCCTTCCCACCCCTTGAGGACAAGTTGGAGCAGAAGACCAAGAGTGGCCTCACAGGATACATCAAGGGCATCTTTGGATTCAGGAGCTAACCAGGCTCTTCCTCAGGGGCAGGGAGGTCCTGACTTACTCTGTATTGTGAGACAGACAGCAAGTTCCAAGGCATTAAATCTAGGTCTGCAATGGCAAGGGCAGAGCTCAGCACCCTCAGCCCTGCGTCCCTACATCTTGTGTGTTTGTGACTTAACTTTCATAGCTGTCATCTTCTGGGCTGAGTCGGGGTCTCTCTGTCCCCTGTGCCTCCTGGGGACTGCTGTGTCCTGGCTCTTGTAAGCCATGGCTGATCACTTTCGGTCACTAATGTGTTCTGGGTTCCACACCAGGCTTTCGGGGGCGGGGGCTTGGGAGTGTTTGTCATGTGTCCTCAGGCCTGTGGATTTGAAACAAACTCCTCCTTGCTGTGAGCTTCCAAAGCCTCCTGAAGTTTGTCAGTGGCTGAAACATGGGCAGTGTCCCCCAGAGTTACGGTCAGCCTTACCCCCTCCTCCTCCAAGAACAAGCAGAGCGCTCTATTTTTAACTATGTTACACTCATGAACGATGAAACCAAATCTTTATTAAAAGGCAAAGATGATGGAAACTGTGCCCATTCTTTATATGTCCCCCCTCACCCTCACCCAGCCCTCGGGGACCCTGCTGGATGACCACGTGGGCAACTGCATCCTGCCTTGCTGGCAGCTGGGTATGGCTGGCACCAGATGTGTGTCAGATGCTTGCTTCAGCTACCTCCTCTGAGTGTAGACACCGTCACGTTTTCATCTGCTCCCCTCCTCACCCCGTTGCTGTTTTCTTCGGATGTATCTTCTGTCCTCTCTTTAATTTCTGTTACAGCATCAGTAGTGGACATCACAACAAGCAATGTAAGAAAGAATAAACCTGAACTGCACCAGTTCCTCTCTACTCCCTTTGCAAAGCAGAGGTTCTTTGTTCCACTATGGGGGTGTCCACCAGGAATGACATGTTGGCTCCACATGGTTCAGACCCGAACAGGCTAGATGGGGTGAGGGCAGGCTGAAGGCTGAGGGTTTGAGACCTCTTGAGAGTGTATCCCAGCATGTATACCAGGGGTGGAAGGATTTATAAAGTTGTGGGAGACATGCTGGGCTAGCCTGGAGACCTCAGGGGTGGCTCTCTTCTCCCTCAGGAATTGCTTAGGCATCGGGAAGCCTCAAAGCAGTTTATCACATATGATGTTGGCTCCTGGGACTCTGTTTATTTTTTTGTTTTGAAGTTTCACCATGTGCTTTTGATTTAGGAATTTCCTTTTCCCTCTGCCTCCCTTCCTTCCCTTACTCTGGAGATAGAAGAGCAAGATGGCTGACAACAGGTTGATAGCTGGGTTTAGTCCTGAAAGCTCTGGTCCATATCCCTGACGGGCTGAGAGGGCGCCGTTACTTCATTTTCTTTTGGAATTGGTGATGGAACCCAGGCCCTGCACACACTGGACCTTCCCCTCTCGGTGCTGCAGGGCACAAGCCATGGATCTCCTGCACACGTCCCCTGCTCCGAGGCCCTACTGTGCAGCAAGCTTCCAGCCCACCTGTGCTAGTGTCTCTGCACAGCTCTGTGAACACTCCAAACCGCAGGGATGGAGCCACTCATTCTGGCTTCGCGAATCAGGATTGTTCATAGATTTGTTCCTGCCTCCTAGTTATCCTTTCCTCCTGGTGTCTCTGCCTTCAGCACCCTGAGGAGCACTGGCCATTGTCAGCCTCATGCTGACCATGACATAATGATGTAGAACATTGCATCTGGGACACACACAATGTATTTACATAAGAAAATGGACTTGGCAGGGGTAAGAGCTGAGGTCTCTAGCTCACAAATTCTTTCATATGGGCAGGACTCATGGATATTCAGGCGGCCTGAGTCACAGTCCTTAGGCCCAGGAGGTGGGCCCTGTTCTACTGTGGCTCATGTCCCTTCCTGGAAAGACCCTCCTGTCCCTGCCTGTGTTCAGTCTTCCTGAGAGAGAGGGCACTTCAGGGAGAAGCCATTCCTGGTTTGGTTTGCTTTGGTTTTTCGAGACACGGTTTCTCTGTAGCTTTGGAGCCTGTTCTGGAACTCTGTAGACCAGGCTGGCCTTAAACTCACAGAGATCCACCTGTCCCTACCTCAGAGTGTTGGGATTAAAGGCTTATGCCACCATCACTCCTGTTTAAACACTCATCTGGTTCACTGTCTGACAGATTCTACCCGGTGGGACGGAGAGGCTAGTGAGGGTTCCGCTGGGAAAGGGACAAGTGACACAGAGGACTTTGGAAACTCGAGGTGTTTTTTCCACCATGCTCTTGCTTGGTGTCTGTCTCTACCCAGTTCTTTATGTCAGGAATAAATTTGTGGAACCCCTGCTGCAGTGGGACATTGCCAGGCTTGACTCCTTCCCCTGGTAGCAACTGAGCCTCCTATTGGGGCAATGAGGTGATAGCCTGCCATGACCCTTGTCCCACAGTGGCCCTGGACTGCAGGAGTGCTTCTTCCTAAAAGCTGGGATGCCGGTTTCAACCTGCCCGAGAGAGAAGAGCCCTGCTCACTGTCATCTGCCATGACCGTACACCATAGTTACACAGAAGAGCTAGTTAATCACGGGATTCTAAAGCAGCCCCTTGCTGTCTGCAGCCCCGAAAGCTCAACACACTCAGAGGGCTGAGAAAATACCCAAAGATAGCAAAGCTATGTGCTGCCTCTGATCCATTCATTTTTATTTTGAAGACAGTTGTTGCTACGAAGGAGAGAGAAAGCAGATTTAGCTGTAGAATTTATCGATGCCCAGAGCACGAGAGAATAAATTGGAAGCTGCTTGGACCCTGACAACCCTGACTGGAACAATCAAACCTGCTGTTCTTTTAGCCTTACAAAGCACGATGGCTGCCAGAGGTCTGCAGAGCCTGGGAAACAGAACAGCTGTGGTCTGGACAGGCTGATAGCCTTGGCTGTCCTGTGTGTGCCCGTGAGGGCACTTTAATGATGTTTGCCTGTCACCTAGTACACAGGAAGGGCTCTGCAAATGTCTACGGGGGAGTTAACTTCGTGTAGGTTCCGAAAATAATATCAAATGACACATTTAAGCAAATTTATTCTTAGGGGGGATAGGGGTACACTCACGCTGTGGTGTGGGTGTGGCAATCAGAGGACAACTTTCAAGGGTCATTCTTTCCTTCCGTCATGGGTTACTGTCCTGGGTGCTGTGATCAGAGGCTTGGCAGTCCTGGGTGGCTTTTTGATTTGGTTTGGTTTGGTTTGGTTTTTCAAGGCAGGGTTTCTCTGTGTATCTTTGGGGTCCATCTGGCACTTGTTCTGTAGACCAGGCTGGGCTCAAACTCAGAGATCCACCTGCCTCTGCCTCCTGAGTGCTGAGATTAAAGGCGTGCACCACCAACACCTGGCCTCCCTGGGTGGTTTTTAAATGCTGCTTCTAGTCCCTTGGTGTAGAAGGCCCTGAAGGGAGAACATGAACCCTCCACATGGTCCTTGCACTGCCTCAGGTGGTCTGTGCCACCTTTGTTCCTCTCCAGGCAGACCTTCTTCTGGTATTCCCTTTTATCAGACACACGGCCAAAAGAACCTCCCCCAGACAGCCCTATGGATTCCCTGCTTCTGACTTCTGACAGGTGGATGGAAGGCTTCTCCTTAACTTCCCCACCTGGCTGTCCTCTCCAGGCCCAGCTGGTGGACTCTGTTCCTCACTGGGGCAAAGAGCATAAGGCAAGGAAGTTATTCAGGTTGTCTAAGGGCTAGAGGGCAGATTCTGTGCCAACTAAGAGCCATTTCCTACTTCCAGGGAAAAGAGAATTGCTACCTTCTCCTTCCAGGGGACAAGGCCTTATGAAGGAGTCCCTGAGCTGGAGGAGGCTCCAGCCCTGGCATCTTTGTCAAGTGCCTCCTTGGGGCCTGGCTGCACTATACTGAGCTGTGTTTTGTGGTTCCGGTCTGCTCAGACCCCCTCAGACCCCACAGGTGCCATGGCCTCACATGGCCATCTCAGCCTGGACTTGCAGACTGGAGTCAAGAGCATACTGCCACCAAAGTCACAGGAAGAGAGGACCTGCAGCATTCTGGGAATCAGCTGATTTCAAACCTCTGGATCCACAGAGGAGGAAGCAGGGCAAGGGGCAGGGAAAACCAGAGGTCATGTCGCATAGGTAGTGGTGGACACCTGTGCAGCTGGTAGGTCGGAGCTATGCTGCTCAGTCTTTCTGCTTGTGTTTCTTTCTGTTTTAGTGAGGGTCTTGGCATGAAGCCCAGGCTGGCCTGGAACTTACTACATAGACCAGCTTGACCTCAAGTTCCAAATCACTCTTCCTGCCTGTGCCTCCTGAATAATAGAATTAGAGGGATGTATCACCACTCCTGGCTTGTGCCATAGAATTTTTGTTTTGTAGGCGGGCATTGGTGGCACACGCCTTTAATCCCAGCACTCGGGAGGCAGAGGCAGGCGGATCTCTGTGAATTCGAGGCCAGCCTGGTCTCCAGAGCGAGTGCCAGGATAGGCTCCAAAGCTACACAGAGAAACCTGTCTTGAAAAACTAAAAACAACAAAAAAAAAGAATTTTTGCTTTGTGATGGCCTCATGGAGGCCTGGCTGGCTCTGAAGTTGTTACACAGCTGAAAATGATCTCCTTGAACTCCTGATCCTTCTCTCAAGTGTTGGGGTAACAAGTATTGTCAACACACCCACCTCTAGCCACGAGGGTTCCAATATGAGCCACAGATGCAAGCCTCACCTGTATCATCGAGTTTGCTAGAAGCCACGTATTTATTTTGTTGTTTGTTTGTTTTTGTTTTTCGAGACAGGCTTTCTCTGTGTAACAGTCCTGGCTGTACTGGAACTTGCTTTGTGGACCAGGCTGGACTCAAACTCACAGAGATCCATCTGCCTCTACCTCCCAAGTGCTGGAATTAAAAAGCATAAGCCACCACTACAAGGCTTTATTTTTTTTTTTTATTTTATGTGAGTGTTTTGTCTGCATATTCAGGGCAAAAGAAGGTATCAGATCTCCTGGAAGTGGAGTCACAGACAGCTGTGAGCCCCCGTGTGGGTGCTGGGATTTAACCCGGGTTCTCTGGAAGAGCAGCCTGTGCTCTTAACTGCTGAGCCATCTCTCCAGTGCCTAGTTATTAAGACAAAGATTCATGTAGCTCCAGCTGGTGACCTTGAACTACTGGTCTTCCGGCCTCCATCACTCTAGAGCTTGAATTTCAAGTGTCACCACACTGTGCTGGACACTGAACCTAAGGCCTCGTAAAGGGTAGGCAGGCACTCTGTGAACTGAACTGCACCCCCAGCAGTAACAGCCAAACAAATTGGGACTGTTATATGTTTAACTTCACATACTCAGAATCTCATTGCAGCATGTCATTAGTAATTATGTGAAAGACAGAGCAGGATTTGCCAGGCGCAGTGGCGCACGCCTTTAGTCCCAGCGCTCGGGAGGCAGAGGCAGGCGGTTCTCTGTGAGTTCGAGGCCAGCCTGGACTACAGAGTGAGTGCCAGGACAGCCAGAGCTGTTATACAGAGAAACCTTGTGGGGGGTGGGGGGAGATTTTATATGTGGTCAGTTTAGGCATGTTCAAACACTCAGCAGCCACAAAGCTCCAATGCACAACATTGCAGGTCTCAATAGAGACAGGAACACCCAGTCACAGCTATCCTTTCTCCCAGGATTTACCCTTGGGACCAATGCTGCTGCCATCTGAGCCGGAACCCCTGCTTTGAGGATTCCTATCAGAGCCTGGAATCTCCCTGCCTGCACTGGCCAGCCCTCAGCTGGGAGCCATCCGATTTGATCTGACAATCACATCAGGCAGTCAGCTCTTGTTTTTTCTTGCAGTGAGTCAATTAGCCCTTGAGCCTTGGCACACACAGCAACCCATGGTGCTCATCTGTTGCCTGGAGGCCTTCCGTAGGGGAGTGGAGCTCTGTGGCACAGGCCAGCTGCAGTCTGGGTACCTTCTACCACCCCACCCACCTCCCACAGCCACTACCTCTTGGGAAGGGTCCTGTCTCCAAGGTGAAGATAGCTGTGTGGACACAGGTCTGGGAGAAAGGTGGTAGTTAGTGCAGACCTTTGGGCCATGAAGTCACTTAAATGGTCCCTTGTGAGACAAGCTGACTGCAGGCCGGGATATTGGTGTTTAGAAGGAAATTGCCACAGGAATTAAGGGGGGGGGGAGGCTGGGACTGAGGCTGAGTGGCTTGCATCCCTGGTGCCTAGAGTAGAGGATGTTGTGGGCGGGGCCTCCTGTCCTGAGGGTTCTTCACCCCCATCGCTACTACCAGCCTCTTCAGGAACAGAAAACTGAATCTTCTTCTCTAGTTAAGTGGCCGAATTTGGTAGCTTCTCGGTGAGATGCAGCCAAAAGACGCTCTTCTGTTGCCCCGAGGCCCTGCTAGAAATAGGAGTCTCCTTGGCACTTGCTGTGAGGAAAAAGCCACTAAATCGGTGTGATCATCCAACACTCAGTTTGACTTGGCAGAAACCACAAGGGCCACTCAGTGGTCTTTCTACCAGGAAACCCGACAGAGGAACAACCAGGGTACCACGGGCTTCTCGGTGACCTCGGCTGAGGCTTAGCTGCAGGGCTGACCAATTCTGGTAGTGACTGGAAAAGGGGCACAGTGGCCTCTCTGGGGGGGGTCCTAACCATGCCTGGAGCTGTAGGGCCCGTGGGGAACCAGCTGGGTAGCACCTACATTTTAAAATATTAGGTTCGAGCAGTTATGGTGGCTCACACCTGTAATCACAGCACTTGGGGGGCTGAGGCAGGAAGGCTGATTGCCAGTTTGGGTTACATAGCAAGAGCTTATCTCGAATGAAAAAAAAAGGTTGCTGCATGTGAATGTCTCCCAGCTGTGCTGTGGGAGACAGAGCAAGGCCCCAAGTGGCCCCACCTCTCCTGGCCGGCGAGCGGTGGGCGGGGGCCACGGCTGATAGCGGACCTCCGTGCAAGGGGCCCCGGTGTTGGCTAACTCCAGCACGAGGACCCGCTGAGCCAGCGCCTGCCTATGTGCTTAGGTCGGTCTGTTTCGCCTTGCTCCGGCCAGGCCACTTCTCCACCTGGGTGTGATCGTTGCTCTTTAGCTGGGCGTGTGGGTGTAACAAGTCCAAACCTCGTGGGAGTCGCTCGGGCGCCCCGCCCTTGGGCTGTGCCCTCTCCTCCCAGACTGGTTGTGCAGGAGCTGGCTGTGCACGTCGGGGCGGGCGGGCGAGCGCTGGGGCATGCGCGGGCCGGGCCTGGCCAGGACACCACACCTGCAGGGAGGGGCCTCCCAGAAACTGCCATCCCTGACCGCCGCCCCACCTCTCCAGAGCCCGGCTAGTAGCCAGCGAGGACGCGCGTCGCCTTCCCGCCCTCCTCCCAGGAGAGCCCAGCCTGAGCCGGCACCTGCTTCACCACCATGTTCAAGGGGCTGAGCAAAGGCTCCCAGGGGAAGGGGTCCCCCAAGGGCTCCCCAGCCAAGGGGTCCCCCAAGGGCTCCCCCAACAAGCACAACCGGTGAGCGGGGCCCTGGGTAGCGGTGCTGGGATCAGGGTGGTGCAGGGCCCAGGTGTTAGAGCTACCTGGGAGCCCAGTTCTGGCATTTGGTCTCCTGAAGCCAAGGGCCCAAGGGTGGGCACTCTCCAGCCCAGGTTGAGCAAGGGATGAACAGCCTGCCTCCGCTCACGTTCTCCTGAGGCGCAAGGGGGGTGCACAGATGGAGGGTGGCCTTGCGGAGATGCTGCACGAGGTGACTGGGAACGGCAGAGTCCGGCTCCCTGTTTGCCACTCAACTGTCATGGTCCACTTGGATTGGATAGGTCTTGGAGCGTGGGCACAGGTTGGACAGGACCGAGAGGCTCAAGAGAAGGGTTTCTGGGCTGGCCCACACCCCCCACCTAACACGACTTTCCTTCAGGTTCCAAGCCTGGGTCCTGGCTGTGAAGAGTCAGAAGGCCCTTTTCATGGGGTGAGAAGGGGTGGTGCCATGCCCTGGTCACCAACTCTCCACAGAGAGACTTGGCCGAGTTCTTCCCGCTCACAGGCCTCAAGCCCTCTGTAGGAGGGGGTAGCAGCCTGCCTGGAGTCAGGTGTTGGGGTGCAGAGGTGTCAAGATAAGATGAAAGGCTGAGGTCTGGGTACCCATTACCTCGATAGGGATCAGGGTGCCAACCCAGAGGCTGGGCATCTGGGCGGACAGGAAAGACAGCGGTTAAGACTCTCACTGGACTGACCTGTCCCCCTCAGGCGCTGAGCCAGCCCAGGGTGGAGCGCACAGTTCCTAGTGGAAGTGTTTCTATCGGGAGGCCCAACCTGAGGCTGGACTCTCCCTGGAGTCCCAGACGCCTCCTGGCCTTGCGTTCTGGACTCCTCTAGCTGTATTCACACATCCCCCTAAGGGCTCCTTGTTCCCCTCAGAGGTGCCTACTCTTCAGCTCTTCTTTGAGGGCCTGTGGTGTGCCAGGACTGCCCTAGGCTCCGGGGATGCCCTGCAAGAGAAACAATGACGTCTTTTCCTTCAAGGTGTTCATATTAGCACAATAAAAATTAGCTGGGTGGTGGAGGCGCACGCCTTTAATCCCAGCACTAGGTAGGCAGAGACAAGTGGATCTGTGAGTTGGAGGCTAACTTCCAACTACATAGTGAGTTCCAGGCCAGCCAGGGCTACACAATAAGATCCTGTTTCAACTAATAAAAAGGGGGTTGGGGTGGGGCTGGAGAGATGGCTCAGTGGTTAAGAGCACTGACTTCTCTTCCAAAGTACCTGGGTTCTAGTCCCAGCTTCCACACTGACAACTATCTGTAACTTCAGGTCCAGAGAATCCTTGGCTGGTCTCCACTGACACACGGGGTACAGATGCAGGCAAAACACCCATACACATAAAAATAGAATAATATGTACTGTGAGGCTCTGAAGTGAGAGCTTCTCATGGCTTAATTCTTCAAATGCCTAAGAGAGCTCTGTGTTCAGGGCCGGGCATGGTAAGCTCCAGGCCAGCCTGGGCTACAGAGTAAGACTTGGTTGCTGTGGGTGCTTCTTGTTGTTTGTGTTTTTAAGACTAACAATAATATAATAATAGTAATAAGTAAAGCCAGATGTGGTAGCATGTGCCACTGAATTCAGCACCTCAGGAGGTGGAGACAGACAGGGTGACCGAGCCAACGGTGGCTGTGCACCGAGTCCTAGCACGGAGGACCAAACACAGGCCTTCGTGGTCACAGACTTCTGGTATGGCCATGTCTTCACTGGCACTGTCCCTCGAGAGTCTAGGTGCAGCTCAGGTAACACTTCCAGGTTGCTGGACTGTGACTCCTGACTTTCCAAGTCCATCTAATTCTCTCCCTCTGCAGAGCTCTGTGGAGGACGCTGAGTGAGAGTCTGGGGAAGAAGCCTGGGGGTTGAGCCTAGGGGCTAGCTGCTTAAGAGCAAAGCAGGACAGGAGGAGGCCAGGCTTTTAGCCCTGAATCAGCAGGAAGATTCCAGCCCTCTCTTGCCCCCTCCCTGCCCCGACACTGGCTCCTCCAGGGAGTCACTAATGTCTCCATACTGCTGAGGCCCCATGTGCCAGAAGAATGGTGGGGGCAGAAAGGCTGGAATGGGAGCAGTTGGGGCCGGAGGATACGCCACTACTCCCTCGCCTTCACTCAGCCCAGCTGTGCCTGTGAAGCCAGCCAGGCTGTCTTAGGTCATTTACTTTCTCCCTGGGCCACCTCCCTACCCACCCCAAGAAGCAGGCAGGGTGTTGGACAGGGTTTGGAGTAATTCATGCATACATGCTTTGTAGCTGCACACAGCCCTGGACTGTCGATTTCCGAACCCTCTGCAGGGGACAGTACCCTCAGCCCCATCTAAGGCCCAGTGCTTCAGAGCTCAGACCATGGATTCTTCCCTGTGGAAGGGCAGGGGAGGTCCCACATGGCAGAGGGCTTTTCCCTAAGGCTATCTTCTGTCTCCCACCCCCACCCCCCACCGCCATCCTCCAGGGCTGCAACCCAGGAACTGGCCCTGCTCATCTCTCGAATGCAAGCCAACGCTGACCAGGTGGAAAGGGACATTTTGGAGACTCAGAAGAGATTGCAACAAGTAAGGACTCTGCAACTGGGGGGCAGAGAGAGGGATAGGGATGGGGGGTGGGATGACGACAGAGGCCCAGAATCAAAGTCTGGGAGTCCCCAGAAGGCCTTCTGTGAAGAGGAATGGACAGCCCAGTCCTCAACTGTCCACAGCCCACCCCAGGCTCAGGGAGGGCACATCTTTCTTTCTGCATTGTGCACCCTACTTTGGGAATAAAATAAAAGCTGACCTAGGTGTCCTTGACACCTGCCACAAGGATGCACTAGTCCTCTGCTTGGTGGTCTGCAAGGCAGACTGGTACAGGGTCCCAGGGCCAGGTTGGAGGGGGTCAGTCCAGCAGGAGTTTGCATGGCTCCGTGTCTGGCACCAGGACCGGCAGAATGGTGAGCAGAACCAGGCTTTGCAGCACCAGCAGGAGACCGGCCGCAACCTGAAGGAGGCTGAGGGGCTGCTTAAGGACCTTTTCCTGGATGTAGACAAGGCCCGTCGGCTCAAGCACCCTCAGGCTGAGGAGATTGAGAAGGAGTAAGTGAGCTGGGGCTCACAGTGGAAGGCCG